GGTGCGGCATAACCAAGCTCAAATATTAGCAAAGTACTTCGAGGCAAAAAACCCTACTGCGGGGACGTTATTTTTGGTACCTTATGTACAAGGGTGAGTTCAATGATATCCTAATTTATTTAATTTATCTTGTCATTTTAAGTTTCATAACATGTGTTTTTAAATTATTTTAGGAGTCATTAGATGCTGATCGGCATTATGCCGACTAGTGTTAAAACTGTAAAGTTTTACTACTTGGATTCTACTAGTGGGCAGCCAGATAATAGACCAAATATGATAGAATTATTTAATTTGTAAGTTTATATTTTAATTAATATTTCTATATTTTTCATTTTAAATTTTAAATTTTAACTTATTTTCTTTCTTATTAGGGCTGTGGTGCTTTATCGCACCGAAAAGAACTTACCTATACTATTAAAGTACAAGTCATATGATCTAGCCTACTCTAATTGGAAGATAATAAAGGTACTTCTGACTACTAATTTTAACAATCAATTTTAGTTTTTTAATTAATTTAACAACATGTTTATTGATTTTTCTATGCAATGCCTACGACAAATAGCATATAGTGAGGATTGTGGATATTGTGTCATGAGATTTCTTAAAGACATCATCACTCATGGGATGACTCTAATCCCCCTACGGTAGGTATGTTATTTATATTAAATTATATGTGATTATGAATTTTAATTTGTTAAAATGATTAACTTTGTTGTCATATTACACTATTGCAATATTATCTCGATTCATATTGTCAAGAATTTAGGGATTGTTACATTAACAAAGTTATTGAGGAATGGTGCGAGTACATTTTCCAGTTGTGGGCCAAAAATAAGTAAATTGCACTTTTTATTTTAGTTTTTATAATTTAGAATAATTTTGGTTTAGTCTAGCAAACAACTTTGTTTTACTTAGTACTATGTCAAGCAATTATATAGGCAATAAATTTTTTTTTATTTTAATAAAATTATTAGTCTACTATAATTCAATTCAGTTTAGTATAATTATGAATTAGACTGATCTGTATTTGCATTATACTATTGCAGGAGGCTGCAAGAAATGCAGCCAGCGTATTAAAAAAAATTGCAACTGTCCAATATACAAAGACATATTGGATGGTTCAAATTATATTGGACGGTTATAATTTGAACCGTCCAATATGTCTTGGTATATTAGATAGTTCTGACCAGAATCGTCCAATATGTCCATACATTGGATGGTTCTTGAAAATAACTGTTCAATATATTCTTTACCTATACCTATTCTGACACTATATTGGACGGTTTTAATAACTGTCCAATATTTGTTTTATTAACATATGACGATTCCATATTGGACTGTTCATAACCGTCCACCATCTAATATAGGCAAAAATAACCGTTCAATATTCCTTTTTTTTAGTAGTGGTCCAACACTGCATCACTGATACTAAGGAGCATCACTTTCTAATGCTGTATCCCGCATGGATACTAAGGAGGAAATCTCTAATATCGTGCCTCACTAGACATTAGAAAAATACATGTCATATGGACTTTCACTACTCCTTCCTACAGGTGAACTCCTACCCCCTAACATGATCATGCTCACACTCATCATATTTAACACATATACATTTCAAACTTCTCAACTAGTCTATATAAAACTTTCACCATTCTCATAGTTCACAAATATTTTTTCATGCACAAAACCACCTTTCGAATATGCAAGGTTATCAAATCCCAAGTAATAAATTTAACATATCTACTCGCAGATAGTTAAGCAATATAATCAAATAATATAAATTATTTTGTTATCTCAACCCTTTGTCACACAAAAGGGTTATTGTGGTTCAATATTAGCTCTACACATTCTATATGCATGAGGTAGCTCGAGCAATACTCAATCTACATAATCAAGTGACAATCATCAATTATCACTCTGGATAAACCCTAAATTTTCTAGGTTCTAAGTGCCCATAATACTCAATTTCTTTATCTAACCATACTGATCCTTTCAAAATACTCTAACCATCTTATTAAACATCCCAACACGCCAAATTCATCCTCTAATTCCCCATATTGTCTCATAATCTTTAAATTATACTTAGGGTTCATCCAAACCCTAACCAAAAATCTCAAATCACTATAAAACTCACAAATTTAGGGTTAGAGGCTTGATTTAACTCCCCAAGACCTTAAATATACTGATGGGTTCGGTCTAAACCTAAGGGAACCGAGATCAATCCCCACACTACCACTTAAGCCAAGAATTTCACATAAATGGGGAAGGAGAGTGAATGTGGAACTTACCCAATGGTGATCCAAGCTCCAAATGCTTCTAAAGTGGCATAGGGATTGTGCCATAGCAAAACACAAGCTCTTCTCCATCGCCTTCTTATTACCTCTCTTTTTTTCTTTTGTTTTCAATCTGTTTTTATGTCTGATAAGTGTTGATTTTTACATGTGCACCATGATGCATTGACATGCCCGCCGCAGTGCATAGCACAGAAAGTCCCACTAAAATTTAAACTCTCTTCCATGCCATGACCTACTCAAACATTGATCTAGCCCTTTTCTAAGGCTGTCCAAAGACTTAAAACTATATTAGTCTCTTATAAATCTCATTAATCAATAATTTATCTAAATGAATCAATTTATCCTTGGAAACAAAGACAATTACTAAATAGGAAAACTTAGGATGTTACACGATTGACGAAGGGGCAAGAAAATACTCTATTCTTGAGTAGGAGACCCTTTGCAAACACAAATGTTTTGAAATAAAATAATAAATCAAATTTTATAAGTTGCCATTTTGACATAATAAATACATTAATCATAGTCAGATATTCGCACACACTTCAAGAAATTGTCAATGAAAAACATAATTTTAATTCTCTACATTTTGCTCGTGTTTTGTTATTATTTCCTATACTTTTTTTCCAGTATTTTAGATTCTTACATTTTTATTTTTTTATATTTTAAGTCCCTTCATGAATAAAGTGTATAGACTTAAAATATTAAAAAAATATGGAGATTTAAAATATTAAAAAAAGTGTAAAAACTAATAGTAAAACGCGAACAAAATACAAGAATTTAAAATTATATTTTTCTTATCATTAAAAACTGTTTTCTCTCTCTCCTTATAGACACACATGTTGATACTATTACATTTTTCAAATGGCTTAAAATGATTTTTTTTTCTTTAGGAAATTTGTAGTAGTCCAATAGGATCTTTTGAATTCATTTTTCTCAATTTTTTTTAAAAAATTTTTAAAAAAATTGGATCGGGTTCAAATTAAATCAAATGGGAAATTCAATTCAAAAAAGCCGTGCTTGACTTTTTCTCTCCTCAAATTCACTGACATACGGAAGTACAGCGATGATCTTCTTTCTCCACTTGCGAATCCAATTGCCAGCTTGCCATTTTTTCAGGGAGCATGATTACTTATATATTAAAAAATCGAATCAATGAGATTTTTTTTTTTGGATCCTTGAAAAATATTTTAAACATGCAAGTTATAAATATCTAGAATAGAAATATAAAATTTTTTTAACCCTATTTATTAGTGACACTATTAAATTTTTATTATAAATTTTTTTACTCTCTATTAAATATTAGAGAAAAAAAATATATCATTAATATAATATATTTAATAAAAGAAAAGTTAAATTTATTAAATTTTTAGATAACGTTAATTACTTTTAAAGTTTTTCTTGATTTTGGTAAAATAAGTTGAAAGTAATTTATAAATAGTATTCCCTCCATCTCAAATTATAGGACATTTTTAAAGGAGTTCTTTCATCTCAAATTATAAGGCACTTTTACTAAATTAAAGATTTATTAAATGCACCAATTTCAATATTACCCTTTCTCTCTCTCTTTAATTAATTTTTGTCTCCTCTTTTTTAATATATTAAATAATGAATATTTTTAAAAATTTATATTTTTTAAAAGATAAGGTTGTTAAATGTATTTAATGAAATTTATTGGCATGGAAGATTTTGTCTAAAAGTGTCTTATAATTTGAGACGGAGAAAATATCACCTCTGTCCTAAATTATAAGATATTTTTGAAAGAGTTTCTCCATCCTAAAATATAAGACACTTTGAATTATTAAAATTTCATTAAATGCACCAATTTTAATATTACCATTTCTCTCTTTATAATTAATTTTCATCCTTTCTCTTTTCAATATGTTAAATGATAGGTATTTTTAAAAGTTTATATTTTTATTTTAGAAAGACAATATTGTTAAATGTATTTAATAAAATTTATTAGTATGTAAAATTTTATTTGTAAATGTCTTATAATTTGGGATGAAGAGAGTATTAGAGAAGCATAAACAAATAAAGCCAGTAATTTGAGCGAGGAGGGCTTAAAGTTTCATACCTTTTTTTTTTTAAAAAAAAGCTCATATAATTAAGCTCGGCCCTAACTTGTTTTGGTTGGGTTTGGATTGGCTCGCCAGGCTTACTCAAATTACAGACTCTACATGTATATAGAGCTTGTAATTCTAATGGTCAGGCTTATTCATGTTAAGCTCAATTTGGGATAGGTTTATTTAGAATGAACGTAAAGTATTTTACCATTTTAAAAAATTTTATATGATCAAGCTCGACCTTTATTTTTTTTTTTTGGCAAAGGACTGACAGGTTAAATTTGGCTCGAATTATTGATCCTTTAAATATATTAACAGAATCTCAATTTTAACAAGAAAATAACTATATTTGAAATGAAATTTAAATTCTTTATTTGTAATTAAATTTTTTCAATTTGCAATTAATTATAAGCATCACTATTTTCAACTCCTTCTAATTTTTTTTTTTATCAAAATCTAATTATCACCAATTCCCTCTTTGCATCTTCCCTTCTCTAGGCAAATTGATGCTTCCCATAGCTTGTCATCATTGAAATCCACACAAGAATATTAATTAAAAACTTCACAAACAGTGTAAAGCCATTCCATCCATTGATCTTTAACATCACCAGCGCACTTCCTCATTACCTCCACGACAACGATAATGTCTCCTTACAGAACTTTCTCACTCATCTTCGTCTTCATTTGCTTGAGATTTTCTCTCACTACTGTATCACAGACCTTTTATCTTGACCATGTCTGCTCTACCAACAAAACCTTCACTGCCAATAGTTCCTTTCAATCCGACCTCACCACCCTCCTCTCTTCCTTAGCTTCCCCAAATACTGCCAACACTGAGTTCTACAACACCACCGTCGCCGCCGCCGGAGCCAGCGGTGGCCACGATACCGTATACGGCCTTTTCATGTGCCGCGGCGATGTCTCCCTACAAGTGTGCCACCAATGCGTCGTTGACGCAACCAACCGGTTACCTTCCGAGTGCCGGTTCTCGAAGGCGGCCATAATCTGGTACAACGAGTGCATGCTTCGCTATTCGAACCAGTCCTTCTTCTCCGCCATGGCGACGAGGCCGATAACAGGCCTCTACAACACTGCCAATATGACCGACCAAGCAAGCTTCATGAGGTTGCTGTATAGAGTTGTGAACGAGACAGCTGATGTGGCTGCGAAACCAGGTTTGGGGAAGAAGAATTATGCAACTAAAGAAGTGAATATTTCGGAGTCTCAAACTCTGTATTGTTTGGCTCAGTGCACGCCGGATCTTTCGCCGGAAGATTGTAGAATGTGTTTGAGTGATGTGATTGGGAACCTTGATTGGTGTTGTGAGGGAAAGGACGGAGGAAGAGTTCTGAATCCCAGTTGCAATGTTCGTTATGAATTGTATCCCTTCTATGGTTCTGGTTATCAGCCGGTGGTGCCAGCACCGGCACCGGCGGCTGCGGTTTCTCCTCCGGCAAATTCTTCAGAACCCCTAGGTAATGTTATTTACTTATCTGCTTTCTGTGATTTCATTTTGACATATTATATGTTATTTTCTTCATTCTAAATTACAAAATATTTTTATATAAAATTATATATATCAATAAACTTAATTAAATATATTTAATATTATTTTTTTAAAATAAAAATATAAATTTTTAAAAATACTCATCATTTAAAGGATGAAAATTAATTATAAAAAAAATAATATTAAAATTGACATATTTAATGAAATCTTAATTTATTTAAAATTTTTTATATTTTAAAATAAATAAATTTTTTTACACGTGTTTCATAATTTAAAACGAAGGGATATGTAAGTAGGCTTCTTTTTTTTTTTTTGGCCAGAAGTCTTCGTATACTTCTTCAAATCATAACATATTACATTGATAAATATTTCATGATCTTTTAAAATTTTTATATCTTTTCAATATATTCTTATTAAATATCTTATATAAGTCATATCTTAATAATAATAATTGAAATTTCAATGTCATCTTGGGACAGAATTTCCGTTCCGTCCACCTGCAAATTAAATTCTCATTTTGTTTTAAAATTCAATTTTTGAATTATACAAAATTTTTATCAAATTCACATCTCCATTCGTCAAACAATAGTAATTGAACGAAATTCTTAGCCTAAGAATCCAACCGCACCCTTGACCTTTGCATATTTTTCCTAATATTTGTTTTCTTTGACTTGGGCAGCTTATTTGATTTATGCTTTATCAAGGTTATCAATCGAGTTATTTTTGTACTGCCCTACTCCTAATCATTTCTATATATTTTAATTCATGATGATGGTTTCCATATATGTTACAGGCTATAATCTCTGAAACCTTATGCCTTAACTAATTACTTCTTTTTAATGACATTAACATGCTAAAGTATATGGTGTTTAAACAGTAAAAGAGAAAGGCCAATCATCACCAACCATTGTGATAGTTGTGGTTTCTATTATTGGTTCGGGGATAGTTTTTGGTTTTACTTACTATCTCTTGAAGAGGCGAATAAAGAGGAATCGTAGAGATGCTCTCAGGCAAGAATACTGTGAGTAATTTTCACTCTACCTCTTCAATAATAATAGTTTGAAGAGTTTGAACTTGTTATGTGGGAATTCTATCATTATCATTATTATTATTATTATTATTGTTATTATTATTGGTCTAGTTGGAAGTGAAGGCACCACTTTAGAGCCACTACAATTCAGCTTAGCTACTATTGAAGCTGCTACAAATCAATTTTCTCAAGAAAACAGTTTTGGGAGAGGTGGATTTGGACACGTTTATAAGGTGATAAATTCCATCAATGCAGAGGTTGTATATATAAATTCATGTATCTTTCCATTTTAATCAAATCAATTATGATTCCAGGGTATTCTTTCAAATGGCCGAGAAATAGCTGTAAGAAGACTCTCAAAAGTTGCTAGTCAAGGTGCAGAAGAATTTAAAAATGAGGTTTTGTTAATAGCCAAACTTCAGCACAGAAATTTGGTGGCATTATTAGGATTCTGCCTAGAAGAGCAAGAGAAAATACTTATTTATGAATATGTTCCCAATAGAAGCCTGGATTACTTTCTTTTTGGTTAGTTTTCTAAACTCATGTTAGCATTTAGGTTAAATTTATACTCCATATTTGTCATGCATGTTATTATTTGTTTCTTGCCATTTCTGTTTGTTTGATTTAATTGTTTATGTTATCATTATTCATTTTGTCTCTCTTTCTATAGTTACAACAATTTTATCTATAGGTTCCCAAAATAGCAAAGTGCTCAATTGGTTGGAGCATTGTAAAATCATATAAGGAATTACTCAAGGAATTCTTTATCTTCATGATTATTCTCACCTTAAAATCATACATCGTGATCTCAAATCTAATAATATTTTGTTAGATGATAAAATGAATCCAAAAATTTCAGATTTTGGCTTAGCTAAGATGATTGCTATTAATAAAAATGAGGGAAATACAAATAGAATTGTTGAAATATAGTAAGTGCTGTTTCTTTTTTCATATAATGTCTACATCTATATCTTGATATGGTTGAATTTAAAAAGAAAATAGTGTGACTAAGTTGACAAGATTAGTTAGACATTTATTGATTATTTTAATTAAAATTTCATTATTAATGTCTTTCTTTTACAGTGGTTATATGTCTCTAGAATATACAATGTTCGGATAATATTCTAAAAAGTCAAATGTTTTCAGTTTTGAAGTCATAATTTTAGAAATTATAAGTGGAAGGAAGAATACAAGCTACCATGATCAATCACAATATACTCATAGCCTCTTAAGCTACGTAAGTTATCATGTGTTTTCTCTCATTAAAATTTCTTATGAACAATCTCAACCTCTAACATGGAGAAAGATTATTTCAGGAATATTGTATATGTCAATAAAAGGGCAATGATTGTAATAATTAGCTTTACTAAATTGTCGCAGGTTTGGAACCAATGGAATTCTGAAAAGTTCTTGGCGATATTGGATCCAAATCTTAAAGAGTTTGGATCATTTAATGAAGTGATTAAGTTCATCCAACTTGGTCTGTTATGTGTTCAAGAAAGTCCAGATTCTAGGCCTTCTATGGCAACAATTATTTCATATCTTAGCGATGATTCAATTCAATTACTATTTCCACAAGAACCTGCATTCTTTTTGCATGGTCAAATGGAGGCTAACATGGGATCTCAAATTAGAGAATCATGCTCTGTTTATGAAGAATCTATGAGTGAATTTTTTCCTCGCTAGAACAAGGCTTTCATTTCATGCTTTTTGCTTTGTACATTGAGGCTCCTTTTGGTATTTATAATAAAAAAAATATTTCCATTTATTTGTATGAGAATTGAAATATATATAAATACAATGTTATACTTTTGTTGTAATTTCTCAATCATAATTATTTCTTTATTTTTCTTTTATTTAAATGCATAAAGGAGATGTTTTGTCTAAACATTTTTTGTTCCATTTGTTTCAATTAATTCCCCATCTTGCATGTCAACTATGAAAAGAATTATGTATATTAATTCCTTTTGAAATTAATGGAAAAGAAAACTAGTTTTACAGTAAAAATATTTGTACAATTTTCCTTTGTGTTCCAGGGAAACCACAAAACTTATGGCAATTTAAGAGTAAGCTGAGGCATATATAGTTCAATTAATTATACGAAGTTTTGTAGTTGAGATTTGAGAATGCAATTTTGTTTTCTTGCTTCAGTAGAAGGTGCTATCTAATGAACATATTGAGTTTTTTTTAATTCTGTTTTAAGTTTTCATGTTTTTAAAAACAATTCTGTAGAATACTTTTTTAAAACAAGTTTCAAAAACAAAAACTAAAAAACTTTATTTGAATTATTATTCTGAAAAACATATCTAAATGGGTGAAATAAAGGGTAAAAGAATTATTTATTTGATTAACATAATTGTCATTAATGAAAACACATGATGATCTATGCCTTTTCTTTAACTTTGCATAACAAAAATAATAAAACATTTAAAAAATGTTCTGGTTTTTTAGTTTTTCATAACAACTTTTAAACTTTTTTGTTTTTTAGAACATATAATAGAAAACACATTTTTCAAATAAGTTTTTCTTTCCAAAGCAAAAAAACCGTTGTGAAAACAAGTATTAAGTAAGCCCATTGTTTTTATAGCTATAATAATTTATAAGATATTGGACACATTGGCATCCTTGTCTTCAGATTTGACTGTAATATTAGGGTTGACAATATTATTTTATAATGCATTATTGTTTTCTTTGAGGGAGAAAACATATCAACGTGCCCTTATAGCTTGCTTCAATTTTTAGTCAATCCCTTATAATTTCACCAGTTAAGGCCCTAGCCCCTATTGTTCGATATATTTCGTACTCCTGGAGGAGTCGTCTAGAATAAATTTTTGTTTCATTGAGCATGGATGAGGAGGATAAACCTTCGTGCTATTCCGTCTTTTTTGGTTGATTGTATTGTTTGTGTTTGATTTTGATATTGGAACGTTCCGCAGTTTGCTTGTGCTTTAATTTACCACCTTCGTATATTCCTTAATTTATTCTTAATTTGTGACCTTTCCATTTGTAATTTATTATTACTACAAAATATACATTTTACGTCCCTCAATTTACATCACTTTTTATAAAAGTGATATAAAAAATAAAGATGATAGTAATTTTATAAATAAGTGTTGAATATGTAAGACTATTCATATTTCTTTTTAAAAAAAAAAAGCTAAAAAAGCAACATGAATAACTTACCACATTACTTTTTTTTTAAAAAAAAAGATGTGAATTATAGAAAATAAATTATTTTTAATTATTAATTTTTAGACATTTTTCATGTCATTTTTTTTAAAAAAGTGATGTGGATAACTTACCACATCGCTTTTTTAAAAAAAGGTATGTAGATTATAAAAAATAAATTATTTTAAATTATTAAATTTTGGACATTTGTAACGTTGCTTTTTTAAAAAAATCAACGTGAATTTCAATCATCTTTTTTAAATTCGATTGAGTTCCTCCCTCGCTCCATCATTATGTATTTTGAAATCTAACTTCTCTCTTTCTTTCCTTTCGATGGCAGCACATCTCTCTTTTCCTCCCCACTACAAATCTGTCCTCTTCCACACGACAACTCTAACAACTCTCTTTTCTCCTTCCCACAATATCGAGACCTATAGCATCGAGATCTACAGCCAACAGACTGAATAAAGACCCAAGGCTAGCATTCAACTGTGAGCATATAGACAACTCTCTCTTCTCCTCATCTCCTCCTCTTTCTCCCATTCAACGGATTGCTTCAGGACCCACGGCCGAGATCCACAGCTTCTCCTCCTCTTTTCCCTGAGCTAGAGAGCAATATTTGGTTAGTATCACTTTCACCCACAAACCCTTTTTCTTTATAAATATTTATGACCTTTGCTTGAACTTTTTTCATTATCTTTGATTGCTTCATCAATTTTGGTATGGTTTTATTTTGTTTTTAGGTTTGTGAAATCTATCGCTAGTTAGAATAATGAAATGTGAATGATAGATATTTAAATTTAAATTATTTTAATATTTGTTTTAGGATAAACCACATTGCTTTTTATAAAAAAGGGACATGGTTTCTTCAAAAACCACATTCCTCATAAAAGTGACGTAGATAAGTCAACTTTTTATGTCGCCTGAATTTGTGTCCTCCACAATAGAGACATGAAATGCTTTAAAAAAGTGACGTAAAAAGCTTTTTTTTTTGTTGAAAATGTGTCACACACACACACACACTCCCTCCATCATTATATAAGGTATTTTTAACCAAATACCATGTAGCTATAAAAATTTGTTATTTAGTTGAAACAACATAAAATCACAATAATTTTCTAGTCTTGCTTGTAATAATGTCACAATTAATATCATAGTAATAGTGGGTAAATAACACAATTAATATCTTATCCCTTTTTCAAGATGTGGGCAAAATTGTTAAATTGCTCAAAAAATTATGGCACCCTTATAAATATAAGGGTGCCATAATTGTAATGTGTGTTTTATACTTTCTGCTTTTAGTGATCAGATGGCCATATGTATGTTTAGCCAATACACACTCAATGCAAAAGTAATATATAAGTTAATAACCAACTATAGTTGACAGGAATAATAAAGACTTTCATCACATAAGCAAGTGGTTGGAAGTTTGAATCTCAATCCTTGTATATGTAGCAATTTAATTGAAAAAAGTTTACTCCTTGTCTACATTACTTTGGGGGAGATAATCTCTATTGTCAGTGAAGTCTACTCCTTATGCTATAAAGAAAAGGTTGATGTATATAGAGTTACACACACATAGCTATTTGGTATATATCCACTAATAATGGTAATACACACACACACACATTATTGTATACCTATCAACTTATATATGTATATATCTATCTATATATATCCAACGTGGCATCGGCTATGATACCAAGCTGTATATATACAACTAGAAGTATATAGCTTACACACACACCTGGATAGATAATTATCGATATAGAATGCTAACTTGTCCATTTTTTGTCAAACATGTTCTAACCTATAAATAACTGTCAACAAAAATCTCATCTAACATAAAGGTAAAATTACTTTTTTTTTCTAACTTTAAGAACAATATTGCTCCACTTAATATTTTAAGATAGTAGGTGCACATCAGCTAATAGTTTAAGGACAAAAATATCATTTAATTCATTATTAAAATATGACACACACAAAGATATATATTGTAATATTACTTATACTTAATTATAGTTTCATAATTAGAATGTGTCATGTGTATTTTGTGTAAATTTAACTCTGATAAATAAGCCATACTATTATGATTCATGAATATAACAATTTGTTAGAATTTTTAAACTTTTATACATTGAGGTGCATTAGCAATTTGGCACCTAAATTTTTTTTTAATTTTTTTGACATTGTAAATGACTTTTTTTTTTTTTTGGTGCGCGATGATTAACTAGCTTTTCCGTTATGGTTTGCTTCAATTTTTAGTCAAGCCCCTATAGCTTTATTTCTTGGAATTGGGCCATTATAATTTCACCAATTAAGCTCTTAACACCTATTGTTCGATATATTTCATGCTTGCGGAGGAGTCAACTAAAGCAAATCACAATTTTGTTGAGCATGGAGGAGGAGAAGCTTTCGAGCTATTTCATCTTTTGTGGTTGATCATATTGTTCGTGTTTGATATTAGAACGTTTCACATTCTTAATTTTCTTGTGCGTTCTTTATTTTGTGACCTTAGCCTATTCCTTTAATTTGTTCCTGTTCGTACTTTATGTTAGCTTGAATATGTGTGAATATATATTCATTATATATATATATATATATATGTATGTATGTATGTATGTTCTCAATAATGCGTGTTTTATGCTTTTGGTGATCTAATGGCTATATATATGTTAGGCTAATACACACACAATATATAACAAATATATAAGTTGATATGTATATATATAGAGTAATATATATATATATATAGCTAGTTAATATATATCATGTAATAATGGTAATATCTATATATATATTTTCACTCAGTATCAGCTCTGATGCCATGCTATTTATATAGTAAAAAATGATGGCTCTAATACCAAGTAGATTGAAAAAGGAGATAAAAATTATGTGAGCAAGGTTAGCAAAGATGATTATGGTGAGGAACTATATTGCACATTTATAGTACAGACCATTATACACAATACAATAGCATGATGACATGTATAGAATCTTATAAAAAGTGAATATTAGCAAAATCATTATACATAATTACAATTAATATTATACTTTAACATCCCTCCAAGTGAGAGGGTGTAATAGATTGAGTTTGCGATTGAGAGTAGAAAATTGCGGTGGTGGTAAGGCCTCAATCAAACAATTAGCAAGTCATTGTGAAGAAGGAACATATTTGATGCAAAGAAGCCCTCCAAGTACCTAATCACAAACAAATTGAATGTCAATCTCTATATGTTTGCACTAAGCATGTTGAATAGGGTTTACGGCCAAAACTCAATCACTTATATTGTCACACTACATAACATATGGCATTCTAGTAAATATACCAAGTTCAAACATTAGAGAACTATTGAATCATATATTTTGATGATTATAAAATCAAGAAAAGAGATGTGTATTTACCTGTGTAGATACAAAAGATTTATGGATGAGACCAAACTTTCGAGAGCTTGAAGAATTAAGAGAAAAAGAAGATTTATAGGTTTAAGTTATTTATTTCTCTTAAATTCAATGTGAAAACTATGAGAGCTTAATCACATGCTATCAATGTT